AGAGGGCAGGTGACTGAAATTGGGGCATGGCCTTGGGGCTAGAGAAGAGGGCACCCGCTGAAATGAGAGTCAAGGGGCAGAATGGATTTGGTGACTGTGGGAGATGTAATAGAGTGGATATGAATTGGACTCGGGATGAGTAGGAGATGGTGATGTGATCACTAAGAGGACCAAAAGGAACAGAGTACAGGGAAGAGAAAGAGCTCAGTTCTGGGCCAGTAGCCATGAAATCAAGCCAGACATCCTTCTCTGAACCACATTCTCAGTCATCACAAGGTTGGGGATTGTACATGCACACAAAGTCCAGGTACTTTCAGTATAGGGTCTGTGATGAGCTACGGCAGTAAGATAGAGAGGCCTTGATTACCTTAAAAAATATAGATGAGGCCTCCCTCTGTTGCCCAGGCTGGAGTGCAGGGGCACAATCAGAGCTCACCGCAGTTTCAACCTCTTGGGCTCAAGAGATTCTCCCACCTCAGCCTCCTGAGTAGCTGGGACCACAGGCGCATGTCACCACACCTAGCTCTCACTATATTTTGACTATTTTGTAGATTTCTTTTATTCCTTATTGTTCAGGTGTGACCATTTCCCCATGCCATTAAATAGTTTGAGATTATGATGGCCTTTCATTTTAGTTACCTTATTTCATTGGGTATGTGTTCTGATTGATCTTTGTCCTTACCCTGTCTGGTTTCAATAGATTTTACACTGTTTGATTGTAGGCTCATTGCTGTTCAAAACTGCTTATTGCAGTAATATCTAAGTAGTGTGAGTGACCACCATGATGGAGAACAAAGCAGTGTTGCAATACTTATAGAAGCAGGCAGGTCATCAGGCCCCTGCAGAGGCACCTGGAGGAAATGTCCCTGCATCTAGGACTTCTGGTGCTCACTTGTTCAGCCAATTCCTTCAGCTCCCTCCAGTCTCCTGGTGGATAGACACTTGCAAAAGGTCCCTTTGGAACCCTCTCCCTTACCCTATCTCTACCTTAGGGCTGATTCTGTGTACAGTGGAGCACTTAGGCCATTGGGGTTAAGTGGGGAAGGAAGCTTTTCACCAGTATATTCTAACAGAATTACCCTGAGAACCAACGTGTGAGGTTAATTGTCCAGACATTGCTTCTTTCCCTCATATGAGGGGGACCCCGAAAAACTTGGAATTATTTTTTTGAAGCATGGGCCCCTTGTAATACAGGCTTTCTCCACTAGAAAATTGTTCTAGGAACCTGTTGGTATCAGTGTACCAGCTAGCATTGTTGTGGGAGACTTCGTTTGGCTTCAGGGAATTTTTGTTTTGGAGATTATTTCAACGCATTTGCCCATTTCATGATGGGTGATTTATAAGCACAACTGCTCATACCATGCTGAGTGTTCAGCAGTTTTTGGCCAAAAAAAAAAAACGGCATGACTCCCGTGCCCCAACCTCCTTGATCTCGTCCCAAGCAACATTTTTTTTTTGTTTCCCCGAATGAAAAAAAGTCCTCAAAGGGAAACAGTTTGCCCACGTGGAAGAGGAGAAACAAAAAAAGGCAGAAGCACTAAAAGGCATCAAAATTGATGAGTTCAAAAACTGTTTTGAGCAACATCAGACAGAAAGTACTTTGAAGGTGACTGAAGTTTAAACGTGCCAGAATAAACACACAATTTCTTTTTTGAGTCGGAGTCTCACTCGGTCACGCAGACTGGAGTGCAGTGGCCGTTCCCGGCCACCACAGCCACGACCTGCTGGACTCCGGCGATCCTTCCGCCTCAGCCTTCCGAGTAGCCGGAACTACAGGCGTGCGCTACCATGCCCAGCTGGTTTTTTGATTTATTGTAGAGATGAGGTCTCGCTGCTCAGGCAGGTCTCAAACCCGCGGGCTCAGTCAATCCACTCACCTCAGCCTCCCAAAGGCGCAGGATTACAGGCTGAGCCACTGAGCCCGGCACAATGTTTTATAAATAAATTTTGGGGTTTTTTTGGATTCCTCCCCTTGTATCTGGCTCCTTTATGCCTCTTCCCCCGGGAGCAACCCATGGCCAAGGCTGATCTCTGCAGGATATGCATATTCCCTGTAACAAGTTACAGGGTTAACAAGTCACAGGATGCAGGTAACCAAGCAACCTAAAGACAATGTACTAAAGACAACGTAAACACTATATAGAAATTTGAATAATTAATTTGCTTGATCATAGAACTGTTTGCTGTGCTGTCCATTGGTGACCCTCTCATAAGTGTAATAAACCAGTGTCTCTCCCTGCTGGACCTTTGGGTGACTTCTTTGGAATAGGTAAACATTACCCACAAGCCCTCTCAGATTTGGGTCTACCATGTTACATAAAGCCTCAGAACACTGAACCATCCAAAGACCACTTTTTTCCCCTATTAAATTTTTGTGGATTTAGTGTCACAAAATGTGTATAATATTATCCCAATCATAGGCTCCAGTCATTATTGTCTCCAACCACCAAAAAAAAGACATTAATTGTATTTCTCGTTCTCTTTCTTATCTTCATCTTCTGTAATGTCAATCTTTATGTTTCTCCATCCTTTAGAGGTAAGGCTTTTGGGTTGGATACTGAGCATATTGCTGAAAATGAAGTAAGGGAAACAAACCAACAGTGACAACTGCAAAGGTAAGATTTCAAAGCAATGAAAAATAACTCCTGGAATTAGAGTCTATAATACCGAATGATCTTTCACAGAAACAAAGAACTGAGTATCACATGTTCTCACTCATAAGTGGCCCTTGAACAACTACTGCAATACTATAAGAAAAGGATTGACTGTAGTGGGAAACTGCAGATGGGAGGGGGGCGGGAGGTGAGACTGACAGTAGTAGAAATCTGCCTGGGGAAGAGGGGGCACACCTCATCAACAAGGGTACTTGCACAGTGAATATTTGTATACCTAACCCTGAAACGTACCCCACAATTTTAAAATAAAAAAATTTAAAAGTTAAAAAAAATTTATAAAAGAAAAATAACTCCCTTCTACCCTTACAAATGCCATTCCTTTACCCTTTTTGGAATCCTGTGAAATGTTCATGATTGGATCTTTTAAATTACTACCCTCCTCAAGACATTTACAACACAAAAAAGGACTTGGGATGATAGAAGTAGCATGGACTAAAGAGTGATTCTCTTTCTGACAAGAGGAAGAGAATTCTGGGGCATTGTTGTTTGAAGCGGTAGGGTGCTATTGACATTCTTCAAAGGATACCTAGCAGGTCCCTGCCTATTCTACCTACCTTCAGAGCCAGTGGACACAGATTGCAGGAAATAAGCTGGACCTACTCAGTAATGTAGACTACTTCCAAGTACTTTTCCAACTGCTTTAGCAGAATCTTTGTATAAAACCACACAGTGAATATGTTTAACACAATCATCCTTCATACCAATCCAAAAAGGCTGACTGCCAGCACCTTGAATTGATTTTCATGGTGAGCTTGGTTTCAGTTATTTTAAGAGCCCTCTGAATCATAACAACTTTAATTTGCTAAGCAATTTAAGTTTTCTCTTATTGCACAAAGACGTTGCCCATGACCTGCCAAATTTCAGGTTAATGATGTTTCCACTATTTCTGGGAATACAAACATTATCACATACACAATACAGATAATATACAAATAATATGCCTCTAGCTCCACATAGAGCCCTATGCACCAACATTAGTAGTCAGGAGAGGATATGATACAGAAGACAGACGAACACTGTCACTACAACAGCCCTTGAATTAAGACCCCAGAGAAGGCAAGGTCTCACTTGACCCCAAGCGAAGACAAAGTCTTTCTTGATAACTCTACATCCTAGCCAAAGGCAGGGGATGCAACCTACTATACAAAACGATGTCTCAGATACCCACACATCTGAGTCACATAGTACAGATAAAGCCTTAGCTACAACAAGATAACTGCGAAACAACCCACCTTTAGATAACAACAAAATTCCGTTATAACTTCCTCACAGACCTTAAATCCCTTCCAACTTTCTTTATACTTGATTATAAAATAAACATACTGAGCTAGTTCGGGGTCACTTCTCCTCCATCAGAGGAAAGTGTCCCACCTGACCCCAACTTTTCTTTATGTCTTTGTGTCTGTGTCTTTCTTAATCTCTCACCACTCTCTCTCAAGACTCTCAAAACAACCACACAGACAACAACAATTAGTGAAAGGCAAAATTTCACCTATTTAACTAGAGAAAGTGAATAAAGTGAAAAAAAACCTCATGATTTATTCCTCATTCATGTGTTCTGGAAAAAGTCACACATATTAGAAATAAGACAGAGAATGATTAAGTGTTGTTCTACAAATCCACATTAGGATCATCTGCCTCTGTTGGGATATTGAACTTTTCCCAGCAGTAGTTTGGGTAGCAGAGGCTTCTCAGCACAGTAGATTTTAAAAACTTAGATCTCTATTAATGCAGAAAAACACTTTTTTCTGTTTCTGGTCATTAGAACAAGTTATAATTTTATTGTCTTCCAGGTCATTAACCAGGTTTCTGTGTAAATTAACAATCACAGTTCTGCATTCCATTCCCTACTACCTAAACAACGAAAGCAATATAAATGTAAATGAATTTTCTGAATAACCTAACTCATTCTGCTGGTTCTCTGAATATGGGTTAAATAAAACGTTGAGAGTGTTCATCAACAAATGGGTGAGATTTATGGTTTGTAACTATTTGGGATGTTTTCAAGCAGTTTTTGGAAATAACATTTTACCAAAAAAAAAACTTTGACTTCTCTTACTTTGTCTTGACAAAACTCAGATTAAGGTCCATTCCTAAAAGACATGAAACTGACTGGTTTACAAGATTAATCACCTAGGATTGAAAGGTCGCCAGTGGAGTATCCATTTGCAGGACACCACAGGATGCTTATCTTTGATGTTTTATAATGCACCAGTCAACATCACTCACAGAATGGCAGAGCATACAGCTTTTGAAAAATATATGGAACCAATTTACTGGACCAGAAGGGAAAGATGTCATATTCATTGGGACTCACAGTCTTTTTCAATAGTGTCTGCCATTTATTGAAAATAAGGAAAAGATTTTTGTACAGGTAGTGTAGAAGAGCAAGGTAGAGTGCAGGGGTTACTGTGTTGAACAAAAGGCACACACCAGAGAAACGACTGCAAATTCAGAAGAAAACTGGGTTGTAAGCAAAAACTAACTGGTCCACAGGAGAAAATGAGGACTGAATTTGGCAACCAGGAACAACTGGACCCTGGCAGCCATCTGGCAGGAAAACAAGAGGTCTCTGGAAGTATAAAAGAAATGGGTCCCGCTGAAGGAGAAAGGCTGGCTGCTCCCTTCGGGGGGCGACCAGAAGTCTGAATCATTGTCCAAGGCGGTGGCCAGCTCACATATTTCCGAGGTGAGTTCAGATCACCAAGAGTAGCAGTCTGTCAGTGGGATACGGTGGATGACGATAGCGACAGCGAAAGCGGGGGAGCGCGGGTCTGTGGGCAGAATGATACAGTAGTCCGGTAGTCTGGCAGGGGAAGGTTTGGCAGGGGCCGGCTGTGGGTGGTCTGTCCAGTGTGTAAAAGGAGCCCAGCTCGCAGCTGGGATGCGGGACAGCGTCCAAATGTGTTTGGGAAGTGCTGGGCTGGCAAGAGGGGGCAGAGGCGTGCTCCAGAGCGAGGCCCAGCAATAGCAGCCGGAGCCTGGAGCGCTATTCCTGGTACAAAGGCAAGCACTACGCGGGAGGGGACAGGAGTGCAGGGGACACCGCGGCCTCGGGGGGAGGGGGAGAGGAGCGGCGGGAGGGCACCCGTGGCGACCCCAGTGGCGGTCACTGGCACAGCGGGCACTCCCCGGAGCACCCGCCCCCAGGCCCGAGAGTCTCCCGGTCTAGAAGTCGTCGTCCTCCTCCCATCCAAAGAAACGCTTCATCTCGGCCAGGAAGGCTGGATAATCATTGAGCAGGGGGCTCTCCTTCCTGACGTAGGGGATCACCCACTGCAGGGCCCGCCCCGTGAGGCGGGTGATGAGGAACGTCACCTTCAGGGCGTCGGTGGAGAATGTGTTCTCATCCGCGAGCATGTAGGCGCCCGTCTGCACGATGAACTCCGGGAGCCGGTCGGTGTCGCCATCAAACGTATCGGGAAAAGAAATCGGGTTCCTCCACCGGCTTGCCGCGGGCCGGATGGGCAAGGCCAGTAGGGCCTTTATCAACTGCACCCGGCCGTCCATCGTGTCTCGCTTGCTTCGCTGGACTTTGCTAACTTTCGCTGGGCTCCGCTGAGTTCCACCAAACTCTGCGGAGGTCAGGACTCCGGCGGCACCGGAATTGCGTGTCCACGAAGGCGGGCTCAGGCTCTAGTGGGCGGGGCCATGGGCGGGGCTCCAGTGCCCTCGCTGGTCCCGCCCGCATAGAGGGTAGTTCCTGGCGCCCAGGCGCTTCACAGGCAAAGCTATGGGAGACCACGGGGGCGCGTCCAACGCCCTTGAGTCGGCGGAGTCGGATGCGAGGGGCAGGGCCAAGGTTTCCCAAGGCTGGTACCAGCGAGGGGCAGGGAGCAGGAGAGAAGCCCAGGACACCCAGCGATGTAGGGAGGGCGGAGCTCACTGCAAGAGCTTAGTAGAGGTTCAAGTTCTGGTAGTTGAGTCCTCAGGCTGCAGCTCTCCCCGCATTTGTTATCACCCTTTGCGTATTCTTTCACGGACTCTCGGCTCCTGAACCTTTAGAATGAGATTCTGTGAACACATTTTCCTGCTTGTTAAGTATCTCTCAGCTATATTGTTGGCTCCCATACGTATAATCCAGAGCAGCATATTCAAAGAATAGTGTATCATGAACAGTTAATGTAAGGAGTTTGTTAAATATTAAGAAATATCTTGTTCTAAAAGTTGCCTACAATTCTCTATCACGTTGTCCTGTCCATAGGCAGTTCCCAGTACTGTATATTACTTCTTCATGGCCCTCAGGAGAGGAGTGTGAGTCTGCTTGCAAGACAGAGTCATGTATAATGAAACATAATCTTGGGAGTTACATTTCATCAATTTGCCATATTCTGTTGGTTAGAAGCAAGTCACAGTCCTCACTCGCACTCAAAGTTATATCCAAGATGTTGAGGTGATGAGGACCACCTTAGAGTCTGTGTGTCACAGTATGGATATACCACAGTTTGGTGATCCATTCACTGGTCAAAGAACTTTGGGCATGTTCACTGTTTTGGCAATTACAAATGAATTAGCAATAAACATTCACATACAAATTTTTGTGTGAGCCTGTTTTCATTTTTCTAGGGTAAATGCCTACTAAAAAGATTTCTGTGTCTTGTGGTTCCTAATAAAGACTCTCATCAAATTAGAGATGCAAGGAAATATAGTCTGATGAAAGGCATCTACTCAAAACCTACAGCTATCATAATTAGAGGTGAAAGTCAGAATGGTATTCACCCTTAGATAAGGATAAGACAAGTATGACCACACTCACCATGTCAGTGCAACATTGTACTGGAGATTCTAGACAATGCAATGAAGATAAAGAAAATAAGGAAAAGAAAGATATCCATATTGGACAAGAAAAAGACCAATTTGTGTTATTCATAGACAATAGGATCATATACATAAAACACCAAAAATACTGGAACTAAGTATTGAGTTTAGCAAGGTTGCAGGACACAGGCGAATATACAAACATCAATTGTATTTCTAGTAGAAATTTGAAACGGAAAAACCACCATTAAATGTAAAAAAAAAAAAACTTAGGGGTAAATATGATAAATACCAAAATGTGAGGATGCTCAAGTCCCTCATATAAAATGACATCATATTTTCTTTTTTTTCCCTTTTCTTTCTTTTTTTTTTGAGTCTCACTCTGTTGCCCAGACTGG